AAGGATGAGAAAGTCGGGCAGAAAATAACTTTTCGCAGGGGAAGGCTAAGGGTGCATCCACACTGTAGAAATAATGCAGTTTAAAAACGCTTTAACTGCCGGGGTTCACGGCTATGGCATTCAAAAAGTTAGAGATTTGCAAGGGAAACTCCAACTCATAGGGATGCGATTTTCCTGCTTCTTAGAAGAGGGTTGGACTGGATGGCCCACGAGGTCTCTTCCAACTCAAGGATTCTATCATTCTATGAACCACTGCAGCTAATGCGGTATCAAACTGCGTTAACTCTGCAGTGTAGGTGCATTCTAAATTACGCAGGGAGCGAGTCCAGAAAAGTTTATCAAAGAAAGTGGGGAAATGGGAAGCGAAAGTTGGGTTGCATCCACACTGTGGAAATAACGCAGTTTAAAACCGCTTTAGCTGCAGTTTTAAGCCGGGAGTTGGAGACTTGTAAGGTCTTTTGCCTTCTCTAACGAAGGAGAATGGTTGGGTCTACCGAAGAGTGGCGTTGCCTCACTTAACACATGGTTTGCGTCCACACTGTGAAAATAACACAGTTTAAAGTCGCTTTAAGTGCGGTTTTAAACCAGGAGTTGGAGACTTGCAAGGTCTTTCGCCTCCTCTAACGAAGGAGATTGGCTGGGTCTACTTTTTTTTTTTGGTCGTGTGAGGAGCGACCTGAGAAACTGCAAGTCGCTTCTGGTGTGAGAGAACTGGCCGTCTGCAAGGACGTTGCTCAGGGGACGCCCAGATGATTTTGATGTTTTTATCATCCTTGTGGGAGGTTTCTCTCATGTCCCCGCATGAGGAGGTCTACTGAAGAGTGGCGTTGCCTCACTTAACACATAGTTTGCGTCCACATTGTGGAAGTAACGCAGTTTAAAGTCGCTTTAACTGCGGTTTTACACCGGGGGGTTGGAGACTTGCAAGGTCTTTCGCCTCCTCTAACGAAGGAGATTGGCTGGGTCTACTCAAGAGTGGCGTTGCTTCAGTTAACACACGAGGTGCGTCTACACTTCGGAAATAACACAGTTTAAAACCGCTTTAACTGAGGTTTTAAGCCGGGGCTCGGAGACTTGAAAGGTTTTTCGCCCTTCTCTAGCTATGGAGATTGGTAGGGTCTATTAAAAAGTGGCCTTGCCTCACTGAACACATGGTTTACGTCCACACTGTGGAAATAACACAGTTTTAAACCGCTTTAACTGCGGTTTTAAACCAGGAGTTGGAGACTTGCAAGGTCTTTCGCCCTTCTCTAACGAAGGAGATTGGTAGTCTACCGAACAGTGGCGCTGCCTCACTTAACCCTCGGGGTGCGTCCATACTGTGGAAATAACGCAGATCAAAACCGCTTTAACTACCAAGGCTCAAGGCTATGGCATCTCGGGAGTTTGGAAGGCTTGAGTTACAAGACCTTTCGCCTTCTCTAACGAAGGAGATTGGCAAGGTGGCGTTGCCTCACTTAACCTACGAGGTGCCGTCCACACTGTAGAGTTAACACAGTTTGATACCGCTTTAACTCCCAAACCTTAATGTTATTAAGGGGGGGGTCTATTAGGGTCTGCAGTTTGGTAAGGAACCAGGGTGTCGTCCACACTGCAAGGTTAACACAGTTTGATACCGCTTTAACTCCCAAACCTTAATGTTATTAGAGGGGGGGGTCTATTAGGGTCTGCAGTTTGGTAAGGAACCAGGGTGTCGTCCACACTGCAAGGTTAACACAGTTTGATACCGCTTTAACTCCCAAACCTTAATGTTATTAGAGGGGGGGGTCTATTAGGGTCTGCAGTTTGGTAAGGAACCAGGGTGTCGTCCACACTGCAAGGTTAACACAGTTTGATACCGCTTTAACTCCCAAACCTTAATGTTATTAGGGGGGGGTCTATTAGGGTCTGCAGTTTGGTAAGGAACCGCTTTAACTCCCAAACCTTAATGTTATTAGGAGGGGGGGGGCTATTAGGGTCTGTAGTTTGGTAAGGAACCAGGGTGCCGTCCACACTGCAAGGTTAACACAGTTTGATACCGCTTTAACTCCCAAACCTTAATGTTATTGGAGGAGGGGGGCTATTAGGGTCTGTAGTTTGGTAAGGAACCAGGGTGCCGTCCACACTGCAAGGTTAACACAGTTTGATACCGCTTTAACTCCCAAACCTTGTTATTAGAGGGGGAGGTATGAGGGTCTGTAGTTGGGGAGGTCTAGTAGGGTCTGTAGTTTGGAAAGGAACCGCTGCTAGTCTTTGCTTGGCTCTTTGGCCTGAGTTGGGTTTGGCCCGGGTCAAGTTCCAGGGATGGGACAGACAGCCAACCCGCGTTAAGTAACCCTCCTCCTCCTCCTCCTTGCTCCCTCTAACTCACCCAGCATCTTGCTGAGCTCGGCGTTGTGCAGGTCCGGGTTCTGTGCGGCCAGGCGCTTCCTCTCGTCCTTGGCCCAGACCATGAAGGCGTTCATGGGGCGACGGATCCGGCTCTCCGCCGCAGCCTTCTCGCCTCCTCCTCCTCCTCCTCCTCGGCCGAGGCCTTGCCCTTCTTCTCCGGGCATCTCCAGCCTCTCCCAGCCGCAAGAGCCCAGCCGCGAAGCCATGCGGAGGGAAACGAGAGAGAGAGAGAGACGGGCAGAGGCGGGACTCCAACTTTGGCCAGACCTTCCCTTCTCCCCTTCTCCCCTTCCTCCCTCCCTCTCTCTGCCCGACGCGCCACTGCCCAGGAGCTGCCCGCAACCCGCGCCCTGTATTTATGGGCTCCGCCTCAAGCCACGCCCCCTCTTTCTCCTCCATCCTCCTCCTCCTCCTCCTCCTCTGCTTCTTCTCTCCTTCGTCTTCCACCTGGCAAGGCAGCAGTGCTCCTGAGCGTGTGCAGAGTGCCCGGCAGACCCATAAACAGGAATAAAAAATCCGGAGGGATTGAAACTTTTGACTTGGGGAGAAAAAAAAGAAGGTCAAGGACAGTGGCTCTTCTTCTGGCACTAATCCCAACTTTAAACCTAATCCTAACCCTTAACACTTAAGTAAGCGCTAACCCCAACCGAATCCCAAACTAAACCCTAACGCTAAACGTAAACTTAAACCTGTTCCTATTCCTAATCCTATCCCTTACCCTAAACCCATCTTTAACCCTAACTCAAACCAAAACCCAAACCCTGTCTCTAACCCTAACCTTAAGCCTATCCCTATTACTAACCCTATCCCTAATCCTAACCACAACTTTAACCCTAGCCCAAACCAAAATCCAAACCCTGATTCTGACCCTAACCCTCACCATTAAACTAATCCTAACCCTAACATTAACTCTATCCCTAACCCTATCCCTAACCCTTAATCTAACCTTAACCCCTAACTCTAACTTAACCCCCAACCCTTTCCCTAATCCTAACCCTAACCCAAGCCTTTAGCATAGCCCTAATCCAACCCCAACACAAACATTAACCCTAACTCTAACCCTAACCTTAACCCTATCCCTAACCCTTAATCTAACCTTAACCCCTAACTCTAACCTAAACCCTAACCCTTTCCATAATCCTAACCCTAACACAAGCCCTAAGCATAACCCTAATTCAACCCTAACAGAAACATTAACCCTAACCTTAACTCTATCCCTAACCCTTAAACTAACCTTAACCCCTAACTCTAACTTAAACCGTAACCTTTTCCCTGATCCTAACCCTAACCCAAACCCTTAGCATAACCCTAATCCAGCCCCAACACTAACATTAACCCTAACCCTAATTCTATCCCTAACCTTAACCCTATCCCTAACCCTATCCCTAACCCTTAATCTAACCTTAACCCCTAACTCTAACCTAAACCCTAACCCTTTCCATAATCCTAACCCTAACACAAACCCTAAGCATAACCCTAATTCAACCCTAACAGAAACATTAACCCTAACCTTAACTCTATCCCTAACCCTTAAACTAACCTTAACCCCTAACTCTAACTTAAACCGTAACCTTTTCCCTGATCCTAACCCTAACCCAAACCCTTAGCATAACCCTAATCCAGCCCCAACACTAACATTAACCCTAACCCTAATTCTATCCCTAACCTTAACCCTATCCCTAACCCTATCCCTAACCCTTACCCTAACCCTATCCCTAACCCTAACCCTATCCCTAACCCTATCCCTAACCCTATCCCTATCCCTATCCCTAACCCTAACCCTAACCCTAACCCTAACCCTATCCCTAACCCTATCCCTAACCCTATCCCTATCCCTAACCCTAACCCTAACCCTATCCCTAACTCTAACTTAAACCGTAACCTTTTCCCTGATCCTAACCCTAACCCAAACCCTTAGCATAACCCTAATCCAGCCCCAACACTAACATTAACCCTAACCCTAATTCTATCCCTAACCTTAACCCTATCCCTAACCCTATCCCTAACCCTTAATCTAACCTTAACCCCTAACTCTAACCTAAACCCTAACCCTTTCCATAATCCTAACCCTAACACAAGCCCTAAGCATAACCCTAATTCAACCCTAACAGAAACATTAACCCTAACCTTAACTCTATCCCTAACCCTTAAACTAACCTTAACCCCTAACTCTAACTTAAACCCTAACCTTTTCCCTGATTCTAACCCTAACCCGAGCCCTTAGCATAACCCTAATCCAACCCCAACACAAACATTAACCCTACTCCTAACTCTATCCTTAACACAAACTAAACTTAACCCTAACTCTACTCTTAACCACAACTGTAACCCTTTCCCTAACCCTAACACTTAACAAAACCCTAACCCTAACCAAATCACAAGCCCTAACTTTATCCCTACCCTTAATTATAACCCCTACGAGAGACAGGGTCTTCTCGGCTGCGGCCCCCTGCCTGTGGAACTCATTTCCCACCTAGCTAAGATCAGCTCCATCCCTCCTATTGGGGAAAATAGATCTTGACATTTGGGAGCTGTAGTTGATGGGATTTATAGTTCGCCTACAATCAAAGGGTATTCTGAACCCTACCAATGATAGAATTAGGCCTAACTTCCCACACAGAGACCCCCATGACCAACAGAAAATACTGTGTTTTCTGATGGCCTTTAGTGACCCCTCTGATACCCCCCTCATGACCCCCCCCCCATCCCGACCCACAGGTTGAGAAACTCTGGATTAGATGAACCAGTGGGAGACACTGCAGTTTCCACAGTTTGCTGGCCATCCAGCCTCTGTTTAAAAGCTTCCAAGGAAGGACCCTCCACCACACTCCGGGGGCAGAGAGTTCCATTGCTGAACGCCTCTCACAGTCAGGAAGTTCTTTCTCATGTTCAGATGGAATGTAGTTTGAAGCCATTGTTCCGCATTTGCAATATAAATTGCAAATTGCTATTGCAATGTAAATTGGTAGAAAGGTAGTTAGTTAATGATAGTGTGAATAATCAAAATTTGGTTGGGGTAGTGCTAATTTTAAAAAAGGAGAATGCAGAAATGATTAGTAATTAATAATAATAATAATAATAATAATAATAATAATAATAATAACAAATAGTAATATATAGTAATCATAGAATCCTAGAGTTGGAAGACACCGCATGGGCCATCCAGTCCAACCCCCTGACAAGAAGCAGGAATATTGCATTCAAAGTACCCTGACAGATGGCCATCCAGCCTGTTTCAAAGCTTCCAAAGAAGGAGCCTCCACCACACTCCGAGGCAGAGAGTTCCACTGCTGAACGGCTCTCACAGTCAGGAAGTTCTTCCTCATGTTCAGATGGAGTATCCTTTTATTAATAATTTTATTATTAATTATTATTAATGATAGTAATAATATTTTTTTAATTTGTTACCTGCGTTTCCTCAAGGCTTGAGGCTACGCACAGCATAGTTAAAATAAATAGAAACCTAATACCATTAAAACGCACTAATGAAAACACATTAAAAATTGTTCCTACCAATTAAAACGTAAGTTTAGATTCATAGCTGAAAGTCGACTTTAGAACTGATTCTTTGCCAAGCCCAGTTGAACCTTTCTGCACCATTCACTTTGCGTCTCACTTGAGTTGAATAATAATAAGAGTAATAATAATTTTTTAAAAATCCAAATTAATCTTGGGTAACCCAAGATGTATCTGCACTGTACTTCTAACATGGTTTGATACCACTTTAACTTCCAGTATTATTGAATCCAGTATTATTCTAATATTATTGGAGCCCCCGGTGGCCAAGCGGGTTAAACCACAAAGCTGCTTAACTTATTGACTGAAAGGTCGTAGGTTTGAATCCGTGGAGCGGGGTGAGCTCCCACTGTTAGCCTCAGCTTCTGAGAGGAGATATGATAGCCATGTATAAATATGTGAGAGGAAGCCACAGGGAGGAGGGAGCAAGCTTGTTTTCTGCTTCCCTGGAGACTAGGACGCGGAACAATGGCTTCAAACTATAAGAAAGGAGATTCCATCTGAACATGAGGAAGAACTTCCTGACTGTGAGAGCCGTTCAGCAGTGGAACTCTCTGCCCGGAGTGTGGTGGAGGCTCCTTCTTTGGAAGCTTTTAAACAGAGGCTGGATGGCCATCTGTCAGGGGTGATTTGAATGCAACATTCCTGCTTCTTGGCAGAATGGGGTTGGACTGGATGGCCCATGAGGTCTCTTCCAACTCTTTGATTCTATGATTCTGCCAATCTAGCAGTTCGAAAACATGCAAATGTGAGTAGATCAATAGATACTGATTTGGCAGGAAGATAACGGCGCTCCATGCAGTCATGCTGGCCACATGACCTTGGAGGTGTCTATGGACAATGCCGGCTCTTCAACTTAGAAAGGGAGATGAGCACCAACTCCCAGAGTCGGACACAACTAGACTTAATTCCAGGGGAAAACCTTTACCTTTGCCTAATATAGAAGCATGAGAGATTTAGTTGGACAAGGCCTTTAGCCTTCTCTCACCAAACTACAACTTTCAGGATCCCACAGCATTGGGCCATGGCAGTTGAAGTGCATTAATTCTGCAGTGCAGACGCACCCTGAACCTCTTCCTGGCAGAGCTCTGTGTTATCCATAAAAGTCCCTTTCTTCTCCTTGCCTGAGGGTTGCCATGAAAATGACTCAAAGGCACTTGTAAACAATGCAAAAATTGTGGGAATCGGAGCAAAGCCTTGAACTCAATGCCCTTAAAATATAAGTAGATCAATCAATTAATCAATCAATCAAAAAGGGGATTAATTTATTGCCTGGGCGTTATTATACATAAGATGATCAGTGAGAATTAAGGTAGCAGCATCCTCCAAATGTGGTGGACTGTAATTCCCATTATCTCTGTTGATCCTAAAATATAAATTTTTTTTAAAGTTTTTAAGAACAAGCCACATGTTTTAATGGTCTTATGTGATTGAACAGAATTGTTTTAGCAACTCTAGGATAAATTTATATGTTGTAGGTTTTTAATTGCTTTGTTCTTCATTCATTGTAAGTTGCTTTGAGTCTGGTTTAAGAGAGGAAAGTGGGATATAAATATAAATCAACATCAAGTGCAGTATTTCATATAATTTAATAGATTGGTTTAATAGATTGAAGTACTTTGGCCACATCATGAGGAGACAGGAAAGCCTAGAGAAGACAATTATGCTGGGGAAAGTGGAAGGCAAAAGGAAGAGGGGCCGACCAAGGGCAAGATGGATGGATGGCATCC